TGTGTGTGTGTGTGTGTGTGTGTGTGTGTGTGTGTGTGTGTGTTGTGTGTGTGTGTGTGTGTACTTATAAGTTATTTTATAATTTTATTAATAAAAGCCTCTCGAAAGTTAAGAAGTGCATGCGACACAGAAGTATCATTTATGGACGCCCCTGTCACTTTCATTGTATTTACAGCGGACTGGCACGTGGCATTGCTTATCAATCATTCGGATCAACTTACTGTTTGGTCCGTGCGTCTACGTCCACCGTTCTTGTAATACCAATCAGTCTTACAATGCCCGCTAACACCAATCCTTTCGCCTCGTGCGCGATCGTTTGGGTGGTCCGCGGACGGAGCCAGCGAGGTGCCAAGGTCTGTTATTAGCGACGGAGTAGGGATAGGCAACAGTGAAGGAACACCTGAAGGTACGTTGCCATGAATTTTTGCTAAGAAACCTCCAGCCGCGTGGCGATCGGTCAAATATCGATTAGGCTGATCCACCGAGTAACCTGTTCTGTAAGCAGGTGTATACGAACTGTTTCGTAAGAAGTCGTAAGTTTAACAACGTATTTCCTGATAAATTCAGATATATCGCTTTTTCTTTGAAAACATTAAAAAAAAATAATAATTGTCCTAATAACTATCCTAAATAATAATAATAATAATAATCCTTATTTTTTAAATTACAATCTTAGCAAAATGGATTTTAAAAAATAAATAACAAAATCTTTATTTAACATTCAGATTAATATAACTTGATCTAATACTACTTAATAGAATTTCATCGTTAGGCTAGATAACAAAGATAAAAAAGGAAATTATGAAAAAAATGAAAAATTAAATATTAAATTCAATCAAAATTTGATCTATTTTATATATTGCTAATTACAAAAAATCAACATATGAATAGAAAAAACTTATATAAATTAGGTAAATTTATTAATAAAATTTTTTCAAAAAGAAGCAAAAGTATACACCTAGCGAAAATATTTACTGGGCGTTTCAGTGTATGCGTTTGGTTGACTATAAAATGAGATGATAAATGGCAGACTAGGCTTGAGCATGCGAGTTTGGTTGGACAGGTAGTAATACTCTTCGTAAAGGCTGTAACTCATACCTCATCGAACCACGAGAAAATTGTGATATGACGATCAAGAGCGATAATCTGGAGTAAAACGCTGGGAAAGAATTGAGGTGAAAGGCAGAGATCGACCAATTAGCCTACATAACCATTTTACGAGTATATCCGTCCCAGTCGTGGAAAAGTAAGATTTAATCACGCTACGAGAAGGATGTATGTCTGTTTTCTCACGCATAGCGAACTTCCTCCTAAAACGAGCAGCCGGTCTATTACTCACGTGCGCGATGATAAACCCGTACAATTGTCTTAATTAGTTTGTTAAAATGCGTTAGATCATCCACTCACGCAAACCACGCTGATCGAGATGTATCGTGTTAATTTACTTTTTTTCGTTAATATTGTTATTTAATAGCGTTACTTCAACAATTTTATATAATATTTAAAGAATGCATATTGTACGCGGAGTTGCTAATTACAATATTTAAAATTTAATTTTTAATATACACATAATTAATTTTAAAACATTTAAAAATGTCTAAGAAAAAATATTTCCTATTAATAAAATTTAAAAAAAATAAATTTTTTTTTATATAATTTGTCATGTCGCAAAATATTATATATTTTGTATAATACACAATAATTGACTGTGTAATATTAACGGGTAAAGAAAATTACAAATTTTGCACAGATGAAGCAGGAAACTGCGTAGAGCTCGACCGGTTTTCTGGTTCCACGCAGTCGAGATCCCTGGAACATTCAAGCACCACGCAGTAGTTCGCGCAATCACGTTGCGCAGTAGATCGCAGAATAGATAAACGTGACACCAGCGCGGCGCTCGTGCTGTGGTTTTAACATCCAGCACGAAGAAATATAGAAACTACTCCCAGACGTTTCGCGCATCGTTCCTAGATCCACATCTCTCTGGCGAGAGGATAGCTTATCTCGAGCTATGCATCGAAGCGTTACGCTGCGACAAGAGCTATACCTTGGATGCTCATTCCGTGCCTCATATAAAGAAAATCGCGTTAAAATGGAGATTATTATGATGTTGTCTTGTTATCTTGTTATCTGTTTCTAGCAAACAAAGGTACATGCAGATATATTCTAGAAATGTCAGATTTTTAATAAACTCCGACTCGTATAAATTAAGAAATGACAGACCGCAATTAGATAAAGTAGTATCAATTTCTTCATTTGATATAAGATAAAGGACAAAAGATTTATGTAAAGAGTATTAAAAAATTCTTCAGAAGTTAGAAAGCATGTAATTCACGCTTCACATTACTTGATAAATTCAGTCATACAATTTATGTTGTGTTAAAATTTTGAATTGTGATTAATTAATTGTTTTGTCAGTGAGTATTTATAAATATTAAGTAGTTATAGATCTTAAAATTTTTCAAATTTGTATGAAAACCTACATCCACTTAATTTAAATATATAATTAATTTTTATATTCATCACATTTAAAAATAAATACATATAAATACTAAAAATCTTATGTATACTTATACATATGTAATGTATCATATTTGATGTATAAGACTTTTCAGAAGTATTTTTCAATGCTCTTTACCAAAAATTTTAAG